ATATATAGCACACGCGTGTATCTTAATTCACTTTTATATCCTTTTATATCATAACAGAAACAATGCCAACACTGTTGATTCCTATTCATTCTGGTTGTGGTACTTTGTTATTGCAACCTCTATCGCGAATGTAAAGGACGGTGTGCAGTAGGGCACCGTAGCCGAGCTTCATGGGCACCTGGTGCGCATCTGAGTGACTCCCCTTCCTTCTTATTTCCCTTCCCCTATCCCTTTGCGTTGCGTGTCACAATAGTAACTCACTCACACAAAGATATTACTATCCAAGCACACTCGTACCCATCCACATCCACACACCGCAGTCAAGCGCATTGTCTACGACAGCCGCTGCCACACGCTACCGAATGCCCAACCCGCGCACCGGTCTGCGGGTGTCCGCGCTGACCGCGGCCGCTGTCCTGCTCGCGCTGCTTGTCAGCACCCCGCTGATCGCTGCGGGGCACCGCTGTATCTTCGACAAGCTGCAGCGCCTGCAGCTGGCGACTGGCACCAGTGCCGTCCCCGAGGTGAGGGACCGCGGGGCGCCGCAGCGGCAGGGTGCGGAGCAGCATGGCAGCTTCACAGCCCCTGACGCGTGGGAGCCGATCCGCATCTCGGTGTTCACCGAGGACCTTGATGACAACTCTCGCTACTGCACACAGCCCGGGGAGATGAAGCCTGATTTCAAAGGTTCCATGATGAAATGCAATTCAAAAAATATTCTTACTGATGAAAAGAAGCAACTGCTGCGTAAACAAATAATCCCCGACGCGATACAGATGCACAAGGACCGCCTGCTGGTGCAACCGCTCAGAGATAATATCCGTGTTGAACACTTCACTGGAGATGTTTGCTCTCACTTTACGATTCCCCAGTCCCACCATGACACTGGTGTACCGGATACCGATTTCCTGCTGTATGTAGCGGCGGGACCAACTGTACCTCGTTTTGTTGCGTGGGCAATCACGTGCCAATATGACCCCAGCGGCCGCCCCTTGGTGGGTGTTGCCAATATTGGGTTTACAGACACTATGGATATTATTCATTCCACACGTACTCTATCACACGAGTTACTGCATGCGTTGGGTTTTGATTATCAATTATTTGAAAATCGAAATATGATTAACACTGTGTCTGTTCGTAATAAACCAGCAAGTTATGTTCTGAAGTCGCCCAAAGTGGTGGAAGTCGCGAGGGCTCATTACGGGTGCAGTACCATGCAGTACGTGGAGTTGGATGACTTGGGTAGCACAGGGGCTGCGAGCTCACACTGGAAGATGCGCAACGCAAAGGATGACTTGATGGCTTTTATTGATTCTGCAGGTTTCTACACTGCCATCACCATTGCGGCGATGGAGGACACGGGCTACTACAAAGGCAACTACCGCAATGCTGAAAGCATGGCATGGGGTAAGAATGCCGGTTGTGTGCTCTTTGATAAGAAGTGCGTTATTGACGGTGTGTCGCAGGTGCCGGAGATGTTCTGTGAAGGTAAAATTGCTTCAATCAGTGAGTACAGGTGCACCTCAGATAGAATGGGAATCGGTGACTGTTTAATGACATATTATACCAACCTTCCATTATATTTCCAGTACTTCCCCGATCCAACAATCGGTGGTACTGAAGACTGGATGGATTACTGCCCGTTTATAAAAGCATATTCAGACACCATGTGTTTTAATGGGGATGCAAGAATGCTGCCCGGTTCTGTGTTTTCAGAATCTGCGCGATGTTTTTCAGCTGTCCCGAGGACTCCCATCAGGATAAGCAATCGCCAAAATATGCTTTCTATTTGCGCAGACGTGCAGTGTGACAAGGACACCTCGAGGTACCGTGTGCGCGTGAAGGGTACCAGTGATTTCGTGGACTGCCCACCCGGAAGTACCCTTGTGCTTTCGGACTACAGTACAGAGTTTAAATCCGGCGCAATAGAGTGTGCACCATACGAGGAGATGTGCCCCGAAAGCCATTACACTGACGTAAATAATCACGAAAGCAGTGAAGAAAACGCCTACCAACACAATCACGTAAGCACTAATGAAGATGAAGCCGTTACCAATGACCAAGAGAAAGCCGAAAGCACTGACGTAAACAATCACGAAAGCACTAATGAAGACGAAGCCGTTACCAATGACCAAGAGAAAGCCGAAAGCACTGACGTAAACAATCACGAAAGCAGTGAAGAAAACGCCTACCAACACAATCACGTAAGCACTAATGAAGACGAAGCCGTTACTAATGACCAAGAGAAAGCCGAAAGTAACAAAAAAAATAATAATATGAACAACGAGATAAATAACAACGAAAGCAGTAGCGGTACATCCGGTACGACTAACATCGCATATCACTTAACTTACACAATTGTAGCATCTCTGGATGTTATGATTGTCCTTCTAATATATAAGTGGCGGTAACTTACGTGAAGAGGGTGAGCCACAGGAAACATGCACCAGAGAGGGATATAGAACGGTAAAATTGTGGCAGGTGCATTATAAGCTGAATCCTGATTGTTTTTCATTAATTTTTTTCTTTCTTTATCATTTTATTAAGCAGACCAATAATTCTTATATATATATAAATTGTCTTTTTTTCTTTAGACATACGGGAAGTATTCTTTCCCATCGGCGTGTAGATTATAAATTGTGCCTCATCAGGAGTAGGGAAACACCGACTAAGTCGGTTTAAATGCGTATACACACATCATTAAAAAATGCTTAAGGTAAACTTTGTAACTAAGGGCAGTATAGTTCGGACACTCATTGATTAGAGAAAGTATAACGAGTAGAACGGTGCCGAGGTAAACACTTCGATACGCTGTCCTCGTTTTTGCAGTAAGTGTGTTAATTTCTTTCTACTGTTTAATCAATAAAGATATATTACCTACGATAAATAGCACACGAGTATCTATTAATTTTATTTTATATTCAAGTGAAACAATGCCAACACTGTTGATCCCTATTCACTCTAGTTGTGGTACTTTGTTATTGTAACTTCCATCACGAATGTAAAGGATGCTGTGCGGTAGGACACCATAACCGGGTTTCATGGGCACCTGGTGCGCATCTGAGTAATACCCCTTCCTTCTTATTTCCCTTCCCCTATTCCTTTGCGTTGCGTGTCACAATAGTAATGCACGCACACAAAGACATTACCATCCAAGCACACTCGTACCCATCCACACCCACACACCGCAGTCAAGCGCATTGTCTACGACAGCCGCTGCCACACGCTACCGAATGCCCAACCCGCGCACCGGCCTGCGGGTGTCCGCGCTGACCGCGGCCGCTGTCCTGCTCGCGCTGCTCGTCGGCACCCCGCTGATCGCTGCGGGGCACCGTTGTATCTTCGACGAGCTGCAGCGCCTGCAGCTGGCGACCGGCACCAGTGCCGTCCCCGAGGTGAGGGACCGCAGGGCGCCGCAGCGGCAGGGTGCGGAGCAGCACGGCAGCTCCATAGCCCCTGACTCATGGGAGCCGATCCGCATCTCGGTGTTCACCGAGGACCTCGACGACAGCTCTCGCTACTGCACACAGCCCGGGGAGATGAGGCATAACTTTATTGCTTCCAAGATAAAATGCAATTCCGATAACGTTCTCACCGATGAAAAGAAGGAACTGCTGCGTAAGCAGATAATCCCCGACGCGATACAGATGCACAAGGACCGCCTGCTGGTGCAACCGCTCAGAGATAATATCCGTGTTAAACACTTCACGTGGGCCCCTTTCTCTCAGTTTACTGTCCCCCAGTCCCACCACGACACCGGTGTACCGGATACCGATTTTGTGCTGTATGTAGCGGCAGGACCAACTGTACCTGGTATTCTTGCGTGGACATTAATTTGCCAATATGACCCCAGCGGCCGCCCCTTGGTGAGTATTGCCAATATTGGGTTTATAAACACTATGGATATTTCCCTTTCCACACGTACTCTAGCACACGAGTTACTGCATGCGTTGGGTTTTGATAATCAAATATTTGAGAAAAGGAACATGATTGATACTGTGTCTGTTCGTGATAAGCCAGCAAGTTATGTTCTGAAGTCACCCAAAGTGGTGGAAGTCGCGAGGGCTCATTACGGGTGCAGTACCATGCAGTACGTGGAGTTGGATGACTTGGGTAGCACAGGGGCTGCGAGCTCACACTGGAAGATGCGCAACGCAAAGGATGACTTGATGTCTCCTTCTTTTTCTGCAGGTTTCTACACTGCCATCACCATTGCGGCGATGGAGGACACGGGCTACTACAAAGGCAACTACCGCAATGCTGAAAGCATGGCATGGGGTAAGAATGCCGGTTGTGTGCTCTTTGATAAGAACTGCGTTATTGACGGTGTGTCGCAGGTGCCGGAGATGTTCTGTGAAGCTAAAGTTGCTTCAAAAAGTGAGTACAGATGCACATCAGACCGGATGGGAATTGGTCAGTGTCTAATAGGGTATAATTTCAACTTGCCAACATATTTCCAGTACTTCCCCGATCCAACAATTTGTGGGGCAGATTTTCATATGGATTACTGCCCGTTTATAAAAGCATATTCAGACACTATGTGCTTAAATGGGGATGCAGGAATGCTGCCCGGTTCTGTGTTTTCAGAGTCTGCGCGATGTTTTTCAGCCGTCCATAGAACTCCCATCCAGATAAGCGATGACCAAAATATGCTCTCTATTTGCGCAGACGTGCAGTGTGACAAGGACACCTCGAGGTACCGTGTGCGCGTGAAGGGCGCCAGTGATTTCGTGGACTGTCCACCCGGTACTACCCTTGTGCTTTCGGACTACAGTGGTGAGTTTAAATCCGGCGCAATAGTGTGTGCACCATACGAGGAGATGTGCCCCGAAAACCATTGTCCCCACAATATCAATGATGAAAGTGGTAATATAAATGATGATGAAAACAGAAATAAAACCGACGAAGAAACCAGCGACAAAAGCACCAGTGCTACTTCCGGCACAACCAAGGGAGAGTACCAGTTCACTTACACTTTTCTGGTGGCGCTGACCGC